CTCTCAGGTCTCTTACAGAGGCGCCAAACCCAAAGCCCCACCTCCTAATGCCATCACATGGGGGTTAGAATTTCAGCCGAGGAATTTGGGGGGTAACATCAACTTTCAGGACACAGGGGAGTGGTACTCGGATAAATGTTTCTTGTACTGTTCTTACAGTTTTCTGTAATACTGAAATAATGTCAAAGTAAAAAGTTATACAAAAGATATGAGGGACAAGTCTAAAGAATGATAAGCAGAGGGTATTATTAAAATACTGCTTGCTACTAGAAACCCAGAGCTATTTCGTGTGCTGTGAAGTATTTATCCAGTTTAAGGTTCATCTCATGACGCTCTCCAGTGCTTACTGTCCTTCAGGGTATGTGGGACGTAGCCCTAAGACTTCTTGTTAGCTTCACAGTTGAGTTATAACTTTCGACCCCGTAGTCTTTTCATTGAGGCCGTATGTATCTTTGCAAAGCTGTGTTCTCAGTAGCTGCTCTGATAAAAAGAAACTTCTGCGTTAAATCAGGTTGGAACCGAAAATGAGGATGGTCGCGGCCAGGTGGATCCCAAGGTTTGCACGTTATCCAGTGTCCAGCTTCCTCCGCCGTGGCCTTCTGACTCGGGGCGTTCTGAATGTACCAGTCAGACTTAGCATAATCGCTGCGGAGGTCCTTAGGGTAAAGGCAGGACTCTGTGAAGCCAATAATCTGCACAGATACAAGTTCTTTTCGCCCTGATCAGTATGTGTTGTAATGTTCAACCAGTCAAGGTGAAACGAGAGGTTTCTGAGTGTACCTGTCCCTTAGTAAGCCTGCTCTCTCATGTGGTTTTCACAGGGATAGTTTGACGTGTGTGTTCTGCCGCTCGCCTCACTTTGCTTTCTCCAACTTCCCTTTATAATGGTACTGATGAGTAGCAAAATGACTTTGAGGTTGATGATCAAGTAATAATTATGGTTATATAATCTTAAATTATATAGTCTATGATAGCTCGAATGATGGACCATGTAGATGGTCCTTTAATATTTGGGCCAGACGGTGGCATAGTGGTCAAGGCAGTGGATTGCATGGCCCATGGCATGGCTTCCAGTCCTGGACCCAGCAATGGGAGGAACATTCCAGATGTGTGGGCGTGTATACCCAAACCCAGAAAGGAGGGAGAGATGGGGGAGGGATTGAGGTGTGGCCATGCCCTGTGGGGGTGGTACTTTCCATGTTCCTCCTCTCTGTTTTTCTCTGGTGAGTATGTGTCATCTAGCAAATTTAAAAAAATGATAATAAAAAGGAAAAATATTTGATAGTTAATACTATATCAATATAGAACAGTAATTATAGTGAAAAATTTTACTTTTCAAATATATGTACACCTGTAATCAGTAAGAGACATAGGATATGTTAATATATTCTTTTAGGTTAAATGTTAGAATTTGAAGCTTAAACTATTAAAAAAAAAAAAAGAACCTAGGTCAAAAGTGATCAGATAGTTACTATTGAAAACTATTTTAAAGATAGTGCAATTGATCTTTCCTGTTATGCAAATGCGAGAACTAAGCCCAGAGATGTGAAATGCGGTCTCACGACAAGCTGCTCCTATCTCACTTGTTTGTGACCTCTCATTTCCTGTCCAGAAGACGTGGAGAACAGCTGGTTTCTGATGGCAGGTCATGGTTAGAGGCCTGTTCTCAGAACTGGATTATCAGAGGAGGGAGTCAGCCCGCCTGTCATTTACGTAAGGACTGCACAGTGCAATGACAGAACACTCACTCTAAAACTAGCTAGAGCTCCCCTCCATGGGCTTCATAGGAAAAGCGGAGCGGCCGGAGAACAGCCTGGTATTCAGGAAACGTCTCGGGGTGGATGGCGTAGCAGGCAGGAGGGCTTTTGCGTGGCCGGGCCAGGGCTCAGAGCCCGGCATCGTCACGCAGTGCCCCTCTGTCCCCTGGCTCAGCCCTTCTCCTGTTACTGGCTTCATGCTCAGATAAGCTCTTTCCCAGGACTTTGGGGAAATACAGAACTAGCAGTTCTGGTTGGTGATAAGGAAGAAAGGTTATGTGAGAACAGAGTATTTAGCTGGAGTCCTTCAAAACTTGAAATTGCTCAAAGAGGCTTGTTTACAGATGATGAAGGAAAAAAAATCTCACGTCTTTGTGACCCCTCACAGTGCTGGCTTGTCTCAGATGCATGAGTTTCACGAGAACTTTTTTTTGACAGAAAGCAAGAAATCTCCCCCCAGTGGAGACTGCCATGACACAATCCCTTCTCCTCCTTTCTCCTTCTGGGATTTTGGGCATACATGCGCTCAGCATGAGTTTCAAGCTGCGGGGTCCAGGACTCGAACCGTAGTTGGCCATGTGGGAGTCCAGCACCTTAGCCACTATGCTACCCACTGGCCCCGAGTTCATGATTTTTAGGCCAATTCTGACTATCATGCTGTACCTGTGTAAAAATGGGACCTGGAGCAATCTGGAGCCAGAAAATATCTGGGAGGTTAGGACTGTTGACAGGCGACTACTTTGCAAGGAGAAGTCTCACAACCGGGTCATCAGACCATGTGGCTTGTCATGGTGGAGCAAGCAACGAACGAAGAGTCACAGACTACGGAGGGAAGGCAGGCCTCAGCCACGGGGGCACAGTGGGGACACGGAAGGTCCGGCAGAGCATGCACACTGGCCTGGCCCCAAGACCTGAGGCTCTGTCAGGACAGAGGGAGGAGGGGTGGCTTCCGGCTGGACTCCCTGACAGGCCATGGCGGAAGTGTGACACGGCATGTGAGCTGACGGGGCTGCAGCTTGCTGCTCCCACTCGTGCTCCGTCATCTCTGCCGCTCGCCCTCAGGGACGCCTTTCCCTGCAATGCCAACAGCTCCACTTCCCCACTTGTTTTCTGTGGGAATCCTGCCCGTGGCCACCTGTGTCCATTCCGCCTGTGCGTCCTGAAACTGGTTGCCACGGCATGCTCGGTGCAGCCCCCGGGCCCGTGTCTGTTGACCGCCTGACCCACCAGCCCTCTGGCGGGTGCCATGATGCCATTTGAGTTACTGAGATCTGCATCAGTGTGAGGCCGATGTCCAGGGGTCCCCACGCTCCCCACCTGGTCACTTCCCCTCTCATCAGAGTGGCCCAGGCCCAAGGCCGCTGGCCTCCTTTGGAATGTGGGAGAAGCCCGTGCTCCACACTGGGCTATGTATCAAGATCCTCCTTCAAGGGGCCCTGGCCTCCCTCCCCTTTACTCAGAGGGGTCTGGGCCTGTGCATTGATTGGCCTACGTCTGGGTATTCACTGAGAAATTCCGACTTTGGATTGGGGTGATCCCATTGGGTTTTTGTTCACTTACGGCAGCATTTTTCTGCATAGACAGATGAGGTAAAATAGGTTAGAGGCCAGCAGGTGACGTAGTGGTCAAGGCACTAGACTTCCACATGGTCGACTGTGGTTCAAATACTGGACCTGGTAGTTTGAAAATCACACTGGGTGCATGTGTGCGTGCGTGCCCAAAATCCCAGGAGGAGAATGGAGGAGAAGGGATTGCAGCAGGGCTATCCTCCTGGGGGGTGATGTTTCACTTTCCCTCTCACTGTGTCTCCCCAGCGAGCTCACTCTCCATATGGCAAACACCTAAAAACAAAAACAAAACAACAACAACAACAAACAAAACTTGGTAGGCAACCCGGCTCAGCCCCGAGGGCAGCACAGCCCCACTGCTGTTGCCGAGGGTCCAGCGGGCCAGGTCACTCCAGTGGTAGCTGCAGCCTGGCCATTATGCTCACAACCCCGGCTCGTCCGTGCCAGGACTCCCTGTGAGTGTGCTGCTCAGGGCCTGGGTGACAGTGCACTCAGGAGACGGCCAGGGATGGGCACACCTGCACTCCAGCCCCGCCAGCCTTTGAATGGGTGCCAGGGAGGCCGTGGCATTCCCACGTCGCTTAGCGAAGGCCACTCGTGTGCACACCTTTCTTCCACCTGAGTCTCTGCTTAGGGACCGGCTAAGAGGGCTGTGCTTACTCACTGACTCCCCACGGGAGTGCAGGCTCCTTGCCAGGCCTTACTTCTGCTCACCGCTCGGGGTCTTCCTTTTCCCCGAGGCCTGCTGTGGTGGGTGGTCAGGGTGGTCCACGGTGCTCATTCTCGGTGTTTGGCCAAGTGCAGTGCTCGAGAGCCACAACAGGCGATAGGCCTGTAGAGGGGAAAGGCGAGAGGTACACTCGTGGAGAACTGAAAGGGGGCCGGGGGGAGACAGGCAAGGGAGTGGGGGCCATCAGAGACGGGCCTGAAACAGAGAGAAGCTGCGTTTTGTGGAGTGGGGGGAGCCAGGGAGGAGTTGGCCTTTCATTCTAAGTATGGTCCCGGAGTATTTTAAGCCAGGGAGTAATAAAACTTCATTGTGTTTTAATGTGCACTGCCTGTCTGGAGAGCAGGTTTAGTAAGGCAGGCTCATGGGAGCAGGGCAGTTCATCAGGAGACTTTCACGACTGGAGAAGAGACGGTGGAGCTCGTCCCGAGATGAGTGTGGGCGGTAGCTCCTTGTCCACCGCTGTCATTCAGTGCTTCCCGACACCTGGACGGGGGTGGGGGCAGAGGTGCAAGCACACGAGGGCGCGGCAGGAGGGTGGGTCACCCTCCACAGGGGGCTGCGCGTCACTCGGCTCATGCCTGTGGCGGGCTTCAAGCTGCTCACTCTCCACCCAGAACACGCCAGTGCGGTTTTTCCCAGTCACACTGCTCCATCACTGTGTATACAGCTTTAGAGACAGAATCGTAATGTGTAACATCTGGTATTTTAATTTAAATAAGCAACATAAGTGCAGTCTGTGGATAACCTTAAACAAGACGGCACAGAGGTTTTACTTTCCAGTCCATGTGCTTCGTATAGCAGATCGCACTATTGGAGCAGCTCTCGGTGGCCGTAATGAGCAGCCAGCATGTGGAATAATCACATGTACAGTGGTGTGTTCTACGGACTGAGGGGTGTCTGTTCTAGTTCACTGACTAAGCCCTTCTCTCTCATTTTGCTTTCAAGTACCAAGATACGAACATGCAGGGGGTTGTGTACGAACTGAACAGCTACATAGAACAGCGGCTGGACACAGGCGGGGACAACCACCTGCTCCTCTACGAGCTGAGCAGCATCATCAAAATAGGTGAGAGGCATTCGGCTTCCCCGGGGGCTGGCTCCGCGTAAGTGCCCGCGGTGGTGCCTCCTGAAGAGGCTCTTGGGGCCGTTGGCTTCTTCGTTGCTGAGCTCGTCTGCGTCTGTGCCATCTCGTTTCCTCCTTTATAATCTGAAGTGTCAGTTTTTTATTGTGAAACCACCAGGAGATAAACCTAAGAAGTTTCTACACGGTCAGATTTCACATGAGTATCTGCCAGAGGTATGAATGGAATATACCATGGCTTTTAAGTAACACTTAGGTTTCTTTGGAAAGTATAATTTTTACTGGTCAAATCACATCTTTGTAAAACAAAGCATAAATTTATTTTAGTTTAGTTTAGCTTAATTTTTGCTATGGGGCATGTGTACTTGCCAGAGAGAGACAGAGATAGAGAAAATAGAAAATTGAGAAAACACCCACCACCACCCACTCCAGCCCTAGGACCACCAGGTAGCATAGTGGTTCAGGTACTAGACTCCCATCTGACTGACTACCATGTTCGAATCCCAGACCCAGCAGCTTGAAACTCATGCCAGGCAGACGTGCATGCATACTCAAACTCCCAGGAGGAAAACGGTGAAGGGATTGCAGCATGGTCATTCCCCTGAGTGTGTGTGGGGGCGTGATTTCTCACTTTCCCTCTCATTGTTTATCTGTCCTGTGAGTGCACACGCCCTATGCCAACCCCCCCCACCAAAAAAATAAAGAAAGAAAGAAGCATACGTCACCCACCCCCCAACAGGGTGGAGAGCCATGCTATAATCACTTCTCTTCCATTCTCCTCTTGGGATTTTGAGCCTACATGCACACAGACCTGGCATGGTTTTCAAGCCACCAGGTCTGACACCCGAACCACACAGTCAGCCATGTGGGGTCCAGGTGCCATAACTACCATGCCACCAGCTTACCCAGAAAGCATTTGTTTTTAAGGGAGAATAAGCATTTAGATTTTCTTTGGATACATGAATATTTTATATATTATTGATATATAAGATATGGTTTGAATTGTGAAAAGAATGGGAAAGTTATGTCAGAAAAGTGATTTTTTTAAAAAAGGATGCACTTTTTTGAGGACTGCATTTTTTTTTTGGAAGGATCCCTATCATAGTAATATCTTTTGGCTTTTTTCATTTTTAGTTGGAAATAGAAACATTCATGGTATGATGGTAGTGATAAGACTTCCTATGCACTTAATTATATTTAGCCACTTTCCCGCGTGTGCTCCATGTGTTAACTCGCTTGCTGTCATCACAGTTTCACGAGGTAGTTTCCGTTATTGTCGCCATTTTCCTTACCCGAGAGCCACCAGGGCAGAGTTCATGAGAGGGGTTTAGAGTCAGGCGACCCCTTCAGAATGATGCTGTCGATTTCCAGGTAATTACCTCCAGGTGATGAATGAAGAATAAGTTAAATTACGTCCGCTTTGGCAAGTGATGACTGTAGATGTGTACATCATTCTTTTTGGTTGATACTTATTTTGGTTATTCAACATTATGAATATCACATCTGGAGTATTTAGTACTTTAAATGCAATTTTCAAACTAAAAATATTCTCCAGCAATTCTGAATATTTAGAGTTTGACAAGCATGTTATTACCTAACTGTGGACTGTTACATGCATTTGAGGGGGTCCCATCTTAAACTTTGGAAGCACTCATGAGAGACACATGACAGTATTCTGACTGTGTTAAAGGAAGGCGTAGCTCATGTTGCTTTGCTCGCTGCATTGCCTCGGCTTATGTTAACGAATCTGCTCTGAAACATCTGAGTCTTGCCACAGAGGGTCTGCACGCATACTCCCACTGAGAACAGTCTCTTTCTTCTTACTCCGGCAGCCACAAAAGCTGATGGGTTCGCACTGTACTTCCTCGGAGAGTGCAATAATGTAAGTATCTCGATTTAGATTCTGGTACTTAGGTGAGAAGTGAAAACTACTGTGCTACAAACAACGTAACAGAGATCATCATAATTCAGTACTTTCAACTGGTTTTATATTTGTTTCCATATGTGGTTATCACCAATCAAGAATTTTAATGGTATGGCAAAATTTAAATGTAAAAATCTTGCGATTTATTTATTTTTTGCTTCAGGTCGTGGTATTCTGTATTAGCATTTAGCTGTGTTGCTAGTTGTAGAAATTCCCAGCTCTGGGTAGCTGAGAAATACTAGAGGTTTATTTAGCTCAAGTTGTGGCAGTCTAAGAGCAAAGGCCTACGTGTGCTATGGCCTTCTCCTTGGCGGGGTCCCAGGGCAGCCTGGGCCTCGCCTGGGAAGAGTGCGAGCAGGCAGGGCACGGCTGGGTCTGTGTCCATCCTCTTCCTCCTTAGAGGCCTCCCAGGACCCCATCTTGAGAGCTCACTCTGAGGATCTTAATCCTTCTCACCTCAAAGGCCCTCCTCCTGACCCAGTGGTTGGGATAGGTTTTCACCCTCTTGGTCCCGGTACAACCACGCTGCATCACAGGAATTTGGGGGATAAACTGGAACCGTAGTGTCCCGAGTTGCAGTCCTAGACTTGGTGTTTCGCCCTGAGCTTTCTCCAACACTGTGAGCTCGGTGGCAGAGAGGAGGGCTTCGGTCTTTCTCCGCTTGAGTGAGGACAGGCACTTCACGTAGCATTTTTAAGGTTTTAAAGTTGACTGCAGAAGAACTCGGGAGGAGTTACTGAGTGTAGGTCCCGAACTACGGTGTCTGGCCTACTTGAAGTAGGCGACTGTGGAGAGACACTCATGCAGGCACCTCCGAGACCACGTCAGCGTGTCCAGGTTGGCCCAGGAGAGGTGTCTGTTACCGGTTTAATTCAACCATAACGGGGCCTCTTTCTACAACCATTGGTCATCCCTACCTCGCCAGATTAAAGGTTCTATTAGGGTAAGGGCCTTTTCTTACTCATTTTTATATTCCCCTGGCACCTTCCCTAGTGCTTTTTGTATAGGCAGCCAGACGTGCACGCTGACTTCGCACCTGCCCAGGCGGCACAGCTCGAAAGCTGAGCGCTGCAGTGCTGAGGCTGCACAGGGAGCGCCCGGGTCTGTGTCTCCGGGTCTTGCTGTGCACACTGGGCGCATGCCTGGGGCCCAGGCTGGCTGGCAATGGGATCACATGTGAAGACCCTGTGGGGTACCCTTCATGCAAGAAATAAACAATCCGTTGTCTTAAAATCGCGTTATTCAGATATTGCTATCACATCTAAGTACTTTATGTTTCAGACACTGATAGTATTCTAAAATAGCTTAACTACTAAAATAAAAAATGGTATTACTTTTTCTGCTCATTTAAAATTTTTATTTCTGAAATTTTTGAGGTTTTATTAAAAAGTTAGGAATTAAGGGACCAGCAGTTAACGTAATGTCTATGTCGCTGAACTCCCATGATGTAGCCGACCACAGTTCGAGTCCCAGACCCAGTGGCTTAAACTCACACCAGGCGCGTGTGCGTGCGTGCCCAAGATCCCGAGAAGAGAATGGAGGAGAAGGGATTGTAGCATGGCCATCACCCTGGGGGATGATTTCTCACTTTCTGTCTCTCTGTCTGTCTCTGTCTCTCTGGCAAGCGCACGCACCCTATAGCAAAAACCACTCCAAAAAAACCAAAAGGTTAGGAATGAAAAAAACACTATATGATTTGCCATTATTTTTACAACTCGCTTTTATATAAGTGGACATGGTGCAACTGTGGCAGTCCAAGCCTCACTGCTCCTTCTGAGGCCCTGCACACCACAGAGGTGGCCACAACAGCTTCTGCCTTGGACTGTGGCTCTTCAGGTGGAGGTGGACATGACCCAAGCTGGGACCCATCAGATTCTCTACTACAACCTGGATCTTGGACCTTGCAGTTGTAGTCATTCGCCCTCAGCAAAATGAAAAGACCCCGACACTGAGGCTGAAGAGAAGTGAGAAGAAACTTGACATTGAGGCTGCCACTGCATTACGTCTGTCTCCTGGGACCTGCCAGGGGAAAAGGGAGCCGGGCTGCAGGACAGAAGCGCAGGCTGGAGGTGCCCTGGGCTGAACTATAGGGAGCCCTGAGGTGCTGGCTTCCTCGTGCTTGAATTTCGGTGCTTCTAACCACTGGGCGATGCTTTATTATTATTATTATTACTTTATTTTATACATTGAATCACTGTACATCATCACAGCTTGTAAAATGTTTCAGCATAAATACACTACACACTAGCCAAGATAAAGATATGATCATACACATTATCATTAACACAGTCCTCCATTCCTGTGCCCCTAAATGTCTTGTTTCTCTAATTTTCTCCTTGATTTCCTTCTTCTCACCTCCTCCACCTCTCAACCACCTCCCACATTGTCTCCAGTATCTGCAATGTTCTCCATGCTTCTATCCTGCAGTCTTTCAGTTTCTGCCATGGAGTGTGGACATCTGGTATGTGTTAAGTGGAGACATACAACGGCTCTCCTTCATAGCCTGGCTTGCTTCACTTAGTAAATCTTCTATACTCATCCACTTCCTATCAAAAACCAGGGTCTTGTTGTTTTTATGGCTGTGTAGTAGTCTATAGAGTATGTGTGCCACACTTTTTCCATCCATTCATCTGTTCATGGACATTTGGGTTGGTTCCATGTCTTAGCAATTGTGAGTAATGCCGCGGTAAACACGGATGTGCAAGCACTTTTCCAACTGAGCATTTTCCTATCTTTTGTGTAGAATTGCTGGATCATATGGTAGTTCTATCTGTAAGTCTTTGAGGAAGTTCCACATTGTTCTTCATAGTGACTGTACTAATTTATATTCCCACCAACAGTGTAGGAGAGTTTCCTTTTCACTGCTGCCTCACCAGCACTTATCATTCTTTACATTTTAATCTTAGCCATTCTGACTGGGGGTAGGTGGGATCTCATTGTGGTTTAGATCTGCATCTCCCTTATGATGAGGAATGTTGAGCATTTGTTTTCTTATGCTTTTTGACTGTTCCTATATCTTTCTTAGAGTGCTATCTGTTCAGCTCATTTGCCCAACTTTTAACTGGGTTGATTTTCTTCCTTCCTTCCTTTTCTTCTTTTCTTTCTTTCTTTCTTTCTTTCTTTCTTTCTTTCTTTCTTTCTTTCTCTCTTTCTCTCTTTCTCTCTTTCTCTCTTTCTTTCCTTTTTTTAGTTAAGCTGCTTGAGCTCCCTATATATTCTGGTTATCAGTCTCTTGTCTGTGGCACAGTTTGCAAATACATACTTCCATTCCAAAGGTTGCCATTTCACTCTAACTCTTGTTTCTTTTGCTGACCAGTAATTTTTAACCTGATGTAATCCCATTTGTCTATTTTAGGGATTATTGCTTGTGCTTTAAGGATCTTATTTAAAAAGCTTTTACCTCCTCCAATGTCTCCAAGAGTTTCCCCTGTGTTTTCCACCATTAATTTATGTGTTTGAAGTCTTTGGTTTAGATCTTTGATCCATTTTGAGTTGACTTTTGTTAATGGTGAGAGATAGGAGTCCAGTTTCATTTTTCTGCAGGTGCACACCCAGTTTTTCCAGCACTGTTTGCTAAAGAGATTTTCTCCCCCCACCCCCGGATTGACTGGTGCCCTTTGTCAAAAAATAAGCTGGCTGTATGTTTGGGAGTCTATTTCTGATGTTTCTACTCTGTTCCTGGCCCACATTCCTGTTTCTGTGCCAGTCCCATGCTGCTGCAAATACCATCACTTTACAATATAGGGTCAGGGAGCGAGATACCTTCTACTCCACTCTTCTTGCATGCTATTTCCTGGGCAGTATGGAGTCTTTATGATTCCAAATGAATTCTGTAATTGTTTTTTTCTAAATTTGTAAAGAATATCTCTGGTAATTTCATTGGGATTGTGTTAAGTGTGTAGATTAGTTTGGGTAGAATAGATATTTTGAGTATATTAGTTCCTCTCATCCAGGAACATGGGATGTCTTTTCACTTTTTTGTGTCATTTTCAATTTCTCTTTTTAGTTTTTTTACAGTTTTCCTTGTAGACATCTTTGGTTAGGTTTATTCCTAGATATTTTATTTCTTTTTTGGCTGTTGTAAATGGAATTGCTTTCTTCAGATCTATCTCAATATGTTCACTGTTGGCGTATAGATTTTTGCATGTTGATTTTGTATTCTGCCACTTTACCATCTTCATTTATTACTTCTGGGAGTTTTTCTGTGGATTATTTGATTATATACATTCTTTCTATGTATATAATCATCTCCTCTGAAGAGATCATTTCGCTTCTTCTTTACCTATTTGAATGCCTTTTATTTTAGTCTCTTGTCTGATTGCATTAGCTAGAACATTCAGTACTACATTGAAAAGGAGTGGAGAAAGTGGGAATCCTTGTCTTGTTCCAGTTTTTAGTGAAAAAACTTTCAGCTTTTCCTTAATCAGTTTGATGTTAGCTATGGGGTTCTCCTAGATGGCTTTTATTGTGTTGAGAAATGTCCCTTCAATGCCAGTTTTGCTGAGAGTCTTAATCATAAAGACATGCTGTGTTTTATCAAATGCTTTTTCTTCATCGATTGATATGATCGTATGGTGTTTATCTTTCTGTTAATATGATGTATTATATTTATTGTTTTGCATATGTTGAACCATCCTTGCATCCCTGGAATAAAGCCTTTTTGATCATGGTTTATAATCTTTTTAATATATCATTGGATATGATTTGCTAGTATATTGTTGAGAATGTTTGCATCTATATTCTTCAGTTAAATTGGTCTGTAGTTTTCTTTTTTTATTAAATCCTTTTCTGTTTGGGGGATGAGAGTGATGGAGGCTTCATAGAGTGAATTTGGGAGAGTTCCTTCTTTTTGGACCTTTAGAAATAGTTTGAGTAGAATGGCAGTTAGCTCCAAATACATGAAAGCTGGACTGCTGATCTAAAGAGAGAGTTAGACTGCAACACACTAATCACTGGGG